CACGACATAAACAGAACCAAAAACAAAAACCACATGATTATCTCAATTGACGCAGAGAAGGCATTTGACAATATTCAGCAGCCCTTTAGGCTAAAAACCATCAATAAACTCGGTATCGATGGAACATATCTCAAAGTAATAAAAGCTATTTATGACAAACCAACAGCCAATATTATACTGTATGGGCAACAACTGGAAGCATTCTCTTTGAAATCCGGCACTAGACGAGGATGCCCTCTTTCACCACTTTTATTCAATATAGTACTGAAAGATCTAGCCAGAGCAATCAGGCAAGAACAAGATATAAAGTGTATTCAAATAGGAAAGGTGGAAGCCAAATTGTCTCTATTTGCAGACGACATGATAGTATACCTAGAAGACCCCAACGCCTCAGCCCAAAAACTCCTGAAACTGATAAACAACTTCAGCAAAGTCTCAGGAGATAAAATCAATGTGCAAAAATCACAAGCATTCCTCTACACCAATAACAGACTTAAAGAGAGCCAAATCAAGAACAAACTGCAATTCACAATTGCTACAAAAAGAATAAAGTACCTTGGAATACAACTCACAAGGAACGTAAGGGACCTCTTCAAGGAGAACTACAAACCACTGCTCAACGAAATCAGAGAGGACACAAACAGATGGAGAAACATTCCATGTTCATGGTTAGGAAAAATTAATATCATGAAAATGGCTATACTGCCCAAAGTAATTTACAGAATCAACACTATTCGCATCAAGCTACCAATGACCTTCTTCACAGAACTGGAGAAAACCACTATGAACTTCATATGGAACCAAAAGAGATCCCGCATAGCGAAGTAAATTCTAAGCAAAAAGAACACAGCAGGAGGCATCACACTACTGGACTTCAAACTATACTACAAGGCTACAGTAATCAAAACAGCATGGTACTGGTACCAAAACAGAGATATAGACCAATGGAACAGAGCAGAGGCATCAGAGGCAACACAACATATCTACAACCATACAATCTTTGATAAACCTGACAAAAACAAGCAATGGGGAAAGAATTCCCTGTTTAATAAATAGTGTTGGGAAAACTGGCTAGCCATGTGCAGAAAGCAAAAACTGGACCCCTTCCTGACACCTTACACTAAAATTAACTCTTGATGGATTAAAGACTTAAACATAAGACCTGGCACCATAAAAACCCTAGAAGAAAATCTAGGCAGAACCATTCAGGACATAGGAGTAGGCAAGGACTTCATGACCAAAACACCAAAAGCATTGGCAACAAAAGCCAAAATAGACAAATGGGACCTAATCAAACTCCACAGCTTCTGCACAGCAAAAGAAACAGTCACTAGAGTGAATCGGCAACCAACAGAATGGGAAAAAATTTTTACAGTTTACCCATCTAACAAAGGGCTGATATCCAGAATTTACAAAGAACTCAAACAGATTTACAGGAAAAAAACAATCAAGCCCATTCAAAAATGGGCAAAGGATATGAACAGACACTTTATGAAAGAAGACATACATGAGGCCAACAAACATATGAAAAAATGCTCATCATCACTGGTAATTAGAGAGATGCAAATCAAATCCACGTTGAGATACCATCTCACGCCAGTTAGAATGGCGATCATTAAAAAATCCGGAGACAACAGATGCTGGAGAGGATGTGGAGAAAGAGGAACACTTTTACACTGTTGGTGGGAGTGTCAATTAGTTCAACCATTGTGGAAGACAGTGTGGCAGTTCCTCAAGGACCTAGAAATACAAATTCCATTTGACCCAGCAATCCCATCACTGGGTATATATCCAAAGGACTATAAATCGTTCTACTATAAGGACAGATGCACACGAATGTTCATTGCAGCACTGTTTACAATAACAAAGACCTGGAACCAACCCAAATGCCCATTGATGATAGACTGGATTGGGAAAATGTGGCACATATACACCATGGAATACTATGCAGCAATCAAAAATGATGAGTTTGTGTCCTTTGTAGGGACATGGATGAACCTGGAGAACATTATTCTCAGCAAACTGACACAAGAACAGAAAATGAAACACCGCATATTCTCACTCATAGGCGGGTGATGAAAAATGAGAACACATGGACACAGGGAGGGGAGTACTACACACTGGGGTCTATTGGGGGGAATAGGGAACGGACAGCGGAGGGGGGAGCTGGGGAGGGATAGCCTGGGGAGAAGTGCCAAATGTGGGTGAAGGGAGGAAGGCAGCAAAGCACACTGCCATGTGTGTACCTATGCAACTGTCTTGCATGTTCTGCACATGTACCCTAAAACCTAAAATGCAATAAAAAAAAATAAATAATAATAAAAAAATCTTCAAAAGGTTTCCCATGGAGTGCATATGATTCCACACTCAGACAGTTCACAAAGTGTAAGGAATACCTTAGCGCTTTGTCATTTAACATTTTAACCAATGGAAAAAAGTACACTTTTATAGGTTTAACTGAGTTTGATTTTTTTTTCTATATCCCTTCTACTTCAGGTATCTACTAATCATTTTACTAAAGATTTTACTAAAAAGTACAGCTCGTGTTCAACCATATACCTAGGTGACAGCCCAGCCAGCCTCATCGTACAACCACAGTAAAATCATGAGTACAACTGTGATGTCAAGGGACAGATCCCCTTATTCTAAAATCATCTCAGCCATCCTCAGTGATTTCACCCATTTAGTTGTTCTTTGCAGCAAGCAGTTTAAGAAATTGGTGTTAACTATATATGGATTTTCAGATTCTAAATATTAATTTTCAAAAAAATGTTAATTTTCAGTTTCTCCTCTAGCTTTAGACTTCATGGTGGAAGGAAAAATTAGTTAGTAAATACTCAGTCCCTGGAAAAGTGTAGTTATTTATCTGATGCCTTTATACCTTATGACAATGTTGAATACAATTCGAAAGATAGATGTCCTTTATTGGATGTTTTTCCAAAAAAAAGTTGTTTTTATTTTTTTTATGAGTTATAGGCCCAAATCTATTAATGCTTACTGCTTTTGACATTAACCTTGGAAGAAAGAACATCTTTTTCTCCACTAGCACCATAATGTATCTGCATTTGACTTTCCTTCATTTTGCATGAACACCTCTTAGGGCATAATTGAAGATGCACTTTTGGAATAGCCTGAGATAAGCCTTTCAAATTTATTTTAAAAGCAACAACACCAGCTTTGTTGGGGTTGTCTAGAGAGCACCATTATCATCTCCTTGGATTATGAGCGTTTAATTTCCACAACATGGAACACAGTTCACTAAGTGCTAATTTAGAATATCAATGTCTTTATCTTTCATTTTACCTTTTTTGTCTTCATACAGGATGTATGTCATTTTATTCTTCATTCTATAAAAGTAACTAGCTTATAAACAACTTTATTTCTAATTTACTAGCTTTTCTAGCCAAACCAATTGTTAGTAACTTCTATTTTAATTAAAAGAAGGAAGTTTACACTCATATTAATGTCACTTTTTTCTCTCCCTTCTAACAATGGTTGAGATAAAATTGTGTTTCACCAAAAACGTGACTCAAAATCTGTTTAAACTCCTAAGCTTTGTGACCTATTGAGTAATAATTAAATTTTTGTATTCAGCCAAGTCTGTAAATTCTTGAGAAAAAAAAATCAGTGCACCTCAGCTAGAGTCCTGGGCTTCTATTCAGAAGATTGTAATGTGTTAGAATGTGATTCAAAAGTGTTTTAAAGATTAACCTTGCTCAAATCAGTATTAAAACATGTTTTTTCCTCCATCACTCTAAGTTCTAGAATTCTACTTTTGGAAATACAGCAAGTTTTAATTTCCTGTCAGCGAGTTTGAGAAATGACCACTTGGTATATTCATTATGGGTAAAATAAAGATTTATTGTGCAAATTAATAGGGCAAGTGGCTTTATGAACAACTTTTGGAAAATATTTTCATAGGTGAGTAGTACATTGTTCTCAATGGAATGCATGGACCACATTTGGTTACTTATGCAAGTTTTCTTAAAATATATGTCTGCAATCACATGCTTCTTCCTACCTCCACCTCTCCTTCAACTAGGCACTCAGAAGCCTTTTAGGGAAATAGGGATGAATGTAAGGCATCCTTATATGGATAAAAGCATCTCAGAAGGTTCCGACTTTAACCCAACTCAATCATTCCCAAACCTTGCTGTACAGTGGAATGACTTAGAAAATTTTAACAACCCTGATGGCCAAAGTTATAAACAATGCTAATTAAATCAAAATGTCTCGTGTTAAAAGAAAGGCAGTGTTTAAAGCTCCTCAGGTGATTCCAATGTGTCACCTAAGAGACACAATGGAAAGTTTGAGAGCCGCCGCCTTAGGACGACAAGCTGCTCCCATTTGGTGGGATCTTGTGCAAGTCAGTCTTGAGGTTTGTTTTTTTAATCTGTAAAATGGTGTTGGATTACATTTCATTTAGAGCATTGGTCCTTTTCAGCAGGTAACTTCAAATTCTGTAATTTTAAAATTATTTTAGAGAGGAAAGCTTCTTGAAGCACTACAGACATAGCCATCCTAGATGCTAATGTTACAGGCTTTTTAAAAAGTGCAAATATGGGCCTGGCATGGTGGCTCATGCCTGTAATCCCAGCACTTTGGGAGGCCAAGGCGGATGGATCACAAGGTCAAGAGATCGAGACCATTCTGGTCAACATAGTGAAACACTGTCTCTACTAAAAATACAAAAAGTTACCTGGGCATGGTGGCACATGCCTGTAATCCCAGCTACTCAGGAAGCTGAGGCAGGAGAATTGTCTGAATCCAGGAGGCAGAGGCTGCGGTGAGCCAAGATTGTGCCATTGCACTTCAGCCTGGGTAACAAGAGTGAAACTTTGTCTCCAAAAAAAAAAAAGTGCAAATATTATGTAGACCTACTGTTAAAATTCAGATTTGCCTTCCCTCAATTATTTGAGCCTCATTTTAGATGCTGTGGGCAGATGGAAGAACATAACTTATGTAAGATAACTTCTTGTTTTCTGATACACAGTGTCTGAGGATAACATAAGAATATAATAATGTATATCTGAAGTTTTATCTGTTCATAAATATTTTATTTGAACTAATTGAGAGTACCTGCCATTAATAATATACCGTGTAGTGGTAGTGCTGCATTGTTCTTAGCGCTGCGTATTTTCACAGAGCTATCATTGGTTTTATGGGTACTTAGGTTTACTAACATGTTTCTAATTATGCAAAAGTGATTTTAAAGGATTTAATTTGGTATAAAACACTTCGATCATTAATTTTTAAAAAATAATAAAACGTGGATGGGCAGGAGAGAGTTAAATAAACTAAAGTGCAGGGCGTAACAACCTCAAAAAACCCACTGTATGGCTTAAATTTAAGCATATGTACATAGAGGTATAATTGCATGGGATGAAAGGTTTTGTGGGTAGAAGAGCATCTAAAGGGAAATAGGTTATTATTTATATGTTATAATCATCAACAGAAACGTGTCTTCTAAGAGTATATTGCCTAGCGTTTTGGTCCTCCTATTTTTGTTAAAAAACTAAAACAAGAATATAATGCCTTAACTGTACTGTTCTGAAGTAGAAGATTTAAACTTCAGGGCCACTGGGATAATTTCTTCCTCCCCCTTTAAAAAAAAGTCTTTAGGCCCAACAAATAATAAAATCTATTGTTTTGGGGTTTTTTTCTTTCTATAGTGTGGCCTTAGTGATATATTATCACATAAAGAAAAGGTGAGCTCTTTTAAAACCTTTCTTGTTATTTCAGGTAATTACTGTTTTCAGGCTCAGCATTAGTTCACAGCTATAGACGTCGTAAGCTGTGTTGTGTCTACTAAAATATTAAAGCAAATTATTTGTGTTTTTATTCACCCTCAAGACTCTTTTAAGTCCTAAATTACTGAGAACCCCAAAGAATCTGTATTTATATTTACTGTCTTAGAAATTAGAATTGAGATCTTTTAAAAAATCGGATTCTGGTTTAGATTTTACAACCTTAGCACTATTGAAATTTTGAGCCAGGTAATGCTTTGCTGTGATGAAATAAAAGCTTGGTGGGTGCATTGCAGAAAGTTTAGCAGCATTTATGGCCTCTATCCGCTAGATGTCAGTAGTGAGCAGGAACCCAGGTTGTGACATTAAAAAGTATTTTTTGAGAAATGTATCATTGAGCTCAGGCCGCGGGAGGAGTGGCAGTGGCCAGGCAGCCCAACTTCGCAAAGGCACCTGGCACGCGCCTTTCCGCCGCCAGGATGCCCAAAAGGAAGGTCAGCTCCGCCGAAGGGTCAGCCAAGGTGGAGACCAAGAGAAGATCCGCGCGGTTATCAGCGAAACCGCCTGCAAAAGTGGAAGTGAAGCCGAAAAAGGCAGCCCCGAATGGTAAAGCTTCAGACAAAACAGTGCAAACCAAAGGGAAAAGGGGAGAAAATGGAAAACAGGGTGAAGTGGCTAACCAAGAAACTAAAGAAGATTTACTTGCAGAAAACGGGAAAATGATAACTGAGGAGAGTCCAGCTTCTGATGAAGCAGGAGAGAAAGAAGCCAAGTCTGATTAATACCATGTATCATGTCTTAGCAGTGGTCTCTGTTTTGTAAATGCAAGTTTTTCGGTAGCTCTAGAGATAGTTTTAAGAAGGAGAGAATCCCACCTCATCCCATTTTTTAAGTGTAAATGCTTTTTTCTAAGAGGTGAAATCATTTTCTGGTTATTTTTTGGTACAATCAGAAAATAGTGTGGAATATTGAATTCTGAGAGGCTTTCACTGTCTCAGGTGTCAGCTTAACATTCCACAGATGGGGGGTTAGATTTTATATCCTATAATACAAAGCATATTAAATGGCAATATGGAGCCAGTCCTGCATTTAATCTCTTAAACATTTTAAATTACTTCTATTTCCATGTTTTTTTAGTAGAATTGGTTCCTAAGGAAAACCACTCTGATCGGGGCTCTCCCTGTCAGAATTGTGTGCAGTCTGTAACATCTTTGGTGTGGTAGTCCTGTTTTCCTAATAACTTTGTTACTGTGCTGTAAACGATTAAAAATTTGAATATGAAGTGTCCATGCTATTCAGTTGTGAATTGGTTTTTTTTTTTCAATTTTTTATTGCATTTTAGGTTTTGGGGTACATGTGAAGAACATGCAAGATAGTTGCATAGGTACACACGTGGCAGTGTGATTTGCTACTTTCCTACACTTCACCTATATCTGGCATTTCTCCCCATGCTATCTCTCCCCAGATCCCCACCCCACGCTGTCCTTCCCCTATTCCCCCCAACAGATCCCAGTGTGTAGTGCTACCCTCCCTGAGTCCATGTGTTCTCATTGTTCAACACCCGCCTATGAGCGAGAACATGAGGTATTTCATTTTCTGTTCTTGTGTCAGTTTGCTGAGAATAATGTTCTCCATGTTCCTACAAAGGACACAAACTCATCATTTTTGATCGCTGCATAATATTCCATGGTGTATATGTGCCATATTTTCCCTGTTCAGTCTATCATCGAAGGGCATTTGGGTTGATTCCAGGTCTTTGCTATTGTAAACAGTGCTGCAATGAACATTCGTGTGCATGTGTCCTTATAGTAGAACGACTTACAGTCCTTTGGATATATACCCAGTAATGGGATTGCTGGGTCAAATGGAATTTCTATTTCTAGGTCCTTGAGAAATCACCACACTGTATTCCACAATGGTTGAACTAATTTACACTCCCACCAACAGTGTAAAAGTGTTCCTATTTATCCACATCCTCTCCAGCATCTTTTGTCTCCAGATTTTTTAATGACCGCCATTCTAACTCGCGTGAGATGGTATCTCAATGTAATTTTAATTTGCATTTCTCTAATGACCAGTGATGATGAGCATTTTTTCATATATTTGCTGGACTAATGTATGTCTTCTTTTGTAAAGTGTCTGTTCATATCCTTTGCCCACTTTTGAATGGGCTTGTTTGTTTTTTTCTGGTAAATTTGTTTTAGTTCTTTGTAAATTCTGGATATCAGTTCTTTGTCAGATGGGTAAACTGCAAAAATGTTTTCCCATTCTGTTGGTTGCCAATTCACTTTAGTGACTGTTTCTTTTGCTGCGCAGAAGCTATGGAGTTTGATTAGGTCCCATTTGTCTATTTTGGCTTTTGTTGCCAAAGCTTTTGGTGTTTTGGTCATGATGTCCTTGCCTACTTCTATGTCCTGAATGGTTTTACCTAGATTTTCTTCTAGGGTTTTTATCGTGTTAGGTCTTATGTTTAAGTCTTTAATCCATCTGGAGTTAATTAGTTGTGAATTGTTGGGACGTAGGTAACAGCTTATCAACATGTGAAGAAGATACGGGGACGTAATAACCGCTTAAGAAAAATTTGCTTCCAAATTTTAAGCTGGAAAGTCACTGGAATAACTAAAAAAGAATTACAATACATGGCTTTTTAGATTTTTGTTACGTATGTTAAGAATTGTGTACAGGGCTGGGTGTGGTGGCTCAAGTCTGTAGTCCCAGCACTTTGGGAGGCCAAGGTGGGTGGATCACGAGGTCAAGGGATCGAGATCATTCTGGCCAACATGGTGAAACCCCCTCTCTACTAAAAATACAAAAGTTAATTTTATACTTAAAAGTTACAAAAGTGTACACAGAGTTCTCTTTTATCCCCCACTGCACTTCCCCAATGTGAAAATCTTATATAACCATAATACAGTGATCAAGAACAGGAAGTTTAACATTTGTACAATATTCACTAAACCTTAGAACTTACTTGAAATTCACCACTTTTCTCACTAATGTTCATTTTCTCTTCCCTGGTTTTATCCATAATTACACAGTGCATTTAGTATTTATTTCTCCTTAATCCCCAGTCTGTACCAGTCCCTCTGGCTTTCCTTATCTTTCATGACCTTGACATTTTGGAAGAGCACTGTGATAGGCAGTATTCTAAGATGATCTCTAAGGTTTCCACTGCTGAATGTACACACCTGGTATACACTCCAAGTACAGGCAGAACCTGTGAATGTAATGAGATATCACTCCTGTGATGACATTATTTATCAGTTGACTTTGATTTATCAAAAGAGAAATTATCTGGGTGGGCCTGGCCTAATCAGGTGAACCCTTTAAAATAACTAGGCCCTTCCTAAAGTCAGAGAGCTTCCTTGCAGGTATGAGAGAATCTAAGGAAGAAAAAGAAATACAAAAAAGGAAAAAAATTCAACAGCATCTAAGGAAGAGGTTACATGGCAAAGACCTGAGAGTAGCTTCCAGGAGCTGAGAGAGGTTCTCAGCTGCTGCTAGCTAGCAATTCAGCCTCAGTCCTACAGCTGCTAGGAAATTATTTTGACCAACAATGTAAGGCAGCTTGGAAAACTACCTTTTTCTAATGGAGCCTCTGGATGTGAATGCAGCTGGCCAGCACCTTGATTTCAGACCCAGAGTAAAGCATAATTAAAATATGCTAGACTCCAGACCCATAAAAACTGTGAGATATTAGATAGCAATTGTTTTAAGCTACTAAGTTTATGGTGATTTGTTATGCAGCAATAGAAAGCGAATACAAATACCACAATAATTATTTGCAGAATGTCCCTCAATATGTGTTTGATATTTTCTCATGATTGAAATGAGGTTATAGATGCTTGACAAGAATGCACAGAAATGATGTTGTGTCCTTCCCAGTGCCTCATATCAAGGGATTCATTTTGTCTGTTCTATATATGTCTTATTATGGGTGATGTTTACCTTGATCATGTAGTGAAATCGGTGTCTGCCAGGTTTCCCCACTGTAAAGTTATTGTAGTATCTTGAAGGAAGTACTTTTGAGACTGTATGAATTCTGTTTCTCCTCCTTGTCTTCCACTAATTTTGGCATCATCCATGGATTTTGCCTAAAATGTTTATTTTTATTATTTTTTTAGAGACAGGGTCTTGCTCTGTCACTCAAGCTGAAGTGCTGTGGTGTGATCATGGCTCACTGCAGCCTTGACCTCACAGGCTCAAACAATCCTTCTGCCTCAGCCTCCCAAGTAGCTGGGACAACAGGTGAGCACCACCCTGCCCAACTAATTGTTTTATTTTATATTTTTGTATAGACAGGGTCTCACTTTGTCTCTCAGGCTGGTCTCCAACTCCTGGGCTTGAGTAATCCTCCTCCTCCTCCTCCTGCCTTGGCCTCCCAAGGTGCTAGGATTACTGGCGTGAGTCACTATATGAGTCACTGTGACCAGCCAGAAATTTTTATTACTCCAGTGTTGACCTAGTGATAATTCTCTATTTCTCTTTCTTCTACATTTATTGATTGAACTTCCACTGTAAGAAAGAGCTGCCTCTTCCCTCATTCCTCCCCTATTTATCCATTTATTTATTTGATTATTTATATCATATTTGTTTTACTCTGTGGGTCAAAACCCCACACTGTCATTACTCTTCAGTTAAATTGTTCCCACTTAGGTCATTATGAACTCCTTCACACTGTCTCCTGTGTTTTTTTCACAGGCCTGCGTCGGGTTTTGAGCCTTTCCTATCTTCCTGGCACATAAGATGTTGTTGACTCATTTTGTATTTTCTCTGCCCAGTCCTAAAAACAACCATTCACCAAGGGTAACTGGTTTCTGATTTATTGGAGAATGCTGTTTAGATCTGGGTGTTAGGTGTGTTCAATTTTTAGGGTGTCATTGCTTCTAGGCCCTATCAGAGGTTAGAACTAGGTAATATATTTAATATATCAACCCATAACATACTTAAAAATATCTATATTTCTGGCCGGGCGTGATGACTCACGCCTGTAATCCAAGCACTTTGGAGGCCAAGGCGGGCAGATCACCTGAGGTCAGGCATTCAAGACCACCCTGACCAACATGGTGAAACCCCGTCCTTAAAAAAAAAGTATATTTCTATATTGATCTGTCTCTCTATATTTTTTAAAACCATAAATTTTATGGCTGGGTGTGATGGCTCTCACCTGTAATCCTAGCACTTTGGGAGACAAAGATGGGCAGATCACTTGAGGTCAGGAGTTTGTGACCAGCCTGGCCAATATAGCAAAACCATATGGTCAATAATCAATTGAGACCAACAAGGCTGGTTCGTGACAATCCTGGCCAACATGGTGAAACCCTGTCACTACCAAAAATACAAAAGTTAGCTGGGAGGTGGTGCATGCCTGTAATTCCAGCTACTTGGGAGGTCGAGGCAGGAGAATCACTTGAACCTGGGAGGTGAAGGTTGCAGTGACCAAGCTCACACCACTGCACTCCAGCCTTGGTGACAGAGCAAGACTCCATCTCAAAAAATAAATTAATCAATTAAATAAAAATAAAATTAAAACCATGACTTTATGCTGGTACACCTGATTCTAGTTCAATACCACAAGGTTCATTTTAGCTTTCTTTTCTTATTTATAACTTCTTTCTCCAACAGTGAAAAGCCCAGCTGCTACCTATTTACTTATTTTCTTAAAAATGTATGTGTGTTGTTGTCTTGTTTTCCTGGAAAAGTTTTTTCTCAGAAACCTATAGGATGTGTGCACAGAATGGCCTTCAGCTCCATGCCAGAGGTAGCTGACCACAGCAACTGCATTGATTCTTCACTTTCTGCCTCCTAAACCCCATTCGGATATCCCTCAGTCACCTTCTTACAAACTAAATGCATCTGGAGTTCTCTGTCTCCCAACCCAACAGCTAGCAGCTTAGGGCCAAGATAGGGTAACTGGAACCTAATATAAATTCTTGCTTTCCAAGCAGACCAAAAGGAAGCCCTCCTGAGTTGAAAATCTTTTCAAATGTGACCTAAGAGTTTTTTGATTGTTTTGAGACAGAATCTTGCTCTGTCATCCAGGCTGGTGCAATGGCATGATCTTGGCTTACTGCAACCTCTGCCTCCCAGGTTCAAGTGATTTTCCTGCCTCAGCCTCTGGAGTACCTGAGACTATAAGCATGCACCACCACCCTGGCGAATTTGTTTGTATTTTTAGTTGACAGGGTTTCACCATGTCAGCCAGGCTGGTCTCAAACTCATGACCTTGAATGATCTGCCTACCTCAGTCTCCCAAAGTGCTGGGATTACAGGCATAAGCGACTGCCCCTGGCCCTAAAGTTCCTTGAATTGGTTATTGACCATATGGAATGGTCACTTTGAGT